GAATCTGTACAAAGCAGTCTTCTTTTATGTGCTGTTTCCCTTCAGAACATATGCGATCATGGCCCTCCACATCTTCCTATTTCTTGTAGCTCTTAATAATTTTTGTCTCCGTTCTACCATCCATTTACCCAAGCTTATCAGGTATGTTATTCACTGTTTTCTTCTGTCCCTCAACCTGTCCTATCAGATTTTCCAACCCCTCTTTTCTCATTACATGCCCAGAAATTTCAACTCCCTCTTCCTGCTCACATTTTCAGTCCATGGTATCCTCAGCATCTTTCAGAAGAACCACATTTCTGTTAATTAAAGTCTGTTCTTCATCTCTGAGCAGATTGTGTGTCACTTTTTAAAATCAGCTCATGGAAATTTTATGTTCTTGTGCATATCAGTGGATTTGTCTTTCTGTCAACTTTTGCATTTTGCTTAAATTTAATTTAGAAAAAACAAAAAAAACATCTGTACAATGTCAGTGTCATATTCTTTCATGAGCAATAAGCCCTTATTGTTTTCACTCCCCCTTTTCGTTATAAAATATTGCACAGTTTCTTTTATCTCTTCTTTAGCAATCATTTTCTCTTGTAGTTGAGAGACTGCAAGTTTTTTATGTATATATTTTACAAACATTTTCACACGATATAAGCTTCATTTTTTTTTTTTTTTTTTTTAAGGACGCATATATGGCAAATAAGAAACAACTTCTTTTTTTCTTTTAATTTTTTTGCCCCCAGCTGGTATTATTGAAATGAATAATTGTTTAAGTCTCCTTAGCATTTTGCTTTAGGTTAAAAAAAAACACTCAAAGCCATTGGTTAGAAAAAATATGTATCACTTGATCACAAAATTGGGGAGCAGATTATTTTAGTTTTAGTTTTTTATTTGTAAACTTTCTTCTCTGGAGCATGGCGTTAGTGTATGATAAAGTGTCACCCACTAATTTTTTTTCCTCCCTTTTTTTGTTGTTAGAAAAATAGAAGTAACAAAAAGAATTATAAAGTTATCTTCAGAGGCAAAAAAACGAGAATAAAAAAAATGAGAAGAACATGAAATTTGATGAATAAAAAGCATTCGTGTTGCAGAGAAGAATAACACAAAAAAAAAGCAATGATAAGAATATACGAAGCAGGTGTTCTGTGGATGCATTCACCCCTAAAAAAACATGACGTTAGGAATAAAAAAAAATAAATAAATAAATAAATAGAAGAATTTTTTTTTTTTTCCGGCAAGGTGATTTTTTTAAAAATTTTTTTTCTAAGATAAAGACTCTTGAAGAAAGTTGAAATTTATTTGGTTTTTAACTTTCCCCTCATTCTTATAATGTTTGTTCTGCCAGTCATTTATTTATATGGAATATAACGGGCAATGGTCATACTAAAAAAAAAAAAAAAAATGACTCACATAGGTAAGAATAAGAACAAAAAAAAAAACATTTTCTAAATAAAAGGGAAAAAAATTCAACAACTTTTTCTCTTTAACACATTTTCTGTGTTTCTATATCATTATTTCTTTTATCATTTTTATTTGTTAACTTTAAGATAAAAACTCAAACTCTAATCCCAATCTTTGAATTATTGTTAAAGAAAGATACTTCATTTTTCTTCATGACTTGACATTTAATCTGCACTCACGACATTTTTTCTCTCTGAAAGAATTGTTAACTATGTAGAGAGTGATTTCTCAAATTTAAAATGTAAAAGAAGAGATAATTTCAATATTTTTATGGAGGCTTTCATCTTTTTTATGCTTTTGTTTCTGTTTATAAAAATAGATTTTACGAACAAAGGAAAGATAAAGTTGTCTGAATTAAACATGCCCGAATATGAAACAACAGACAAAAAAGAAATTATATTTTAACAGCTTATGCAGCAATATGAATGCATATCCTATAAAAACATTTTGGTGAAAGATGAGAAAAAAATTTGAAGTTAATCTAGCTGAGTTCAAATTCCATTTAGGTTTGTTACAATCACTTACATACAAATAACCTTGGGAAAAGTACAAATTTATATCCGTCCCTCAGGTATGGGTTAAACAGGAGGACTTGCATCTGGAAACAAAAAAAAAGGGATTATTCTTACAATATGGTGTTTCCGGACAAATTTTTTAATTTATTCATTCTTTCTCATCAGCGTCTTGGGTATGATGATAAACTACATCTGTGTCCTAGGTAAGACAATAAACTATGTCCAACAGCAAGGCCTCTGATCAGGAGGTTTTGAGGAGCGTGGAACCACCTCTTAATTGCTGGTGTTCCCAGGTCCAACCTGACCCTGAGTGGTAGCACCTGTTAGGGTCCCAGCTATGGGCAAATAGTTAACACACAGACTATATTTGCGTCCTGGGTATGATGATAAACTACATCTGTGTCCTAGGTAAGACAATAAACTATGTCCAACAGCAAGGCCTCTGATCAGGAGGTTTTGAGGAGTGTGGAACCACCTCTTAATTGCTGGTGTTCCCAGGTCCAACCTGACCCTGAGTGGTAGCACCTGTTAGGGTCCCAGCTATGGGCAAATAGTTAACACACAGACTATGACATGTCCTGGGTATGATGATAAACTACATCTGTGTCCTAGGTAAGACAATAAACTATGTCCAACAGCAAGGCCTCTGATCAGGAGGTTTTGAGGAGTGTGGAACCACCTCTTAATTGCTGGTGTTCCCAGGTCCACCCTGACCCTGAGTGGTAGCACCTGTTAGGGTCCCAGCTATGGGAAAATAGTTAACACACAGACTATATTTGCGTCCTGGGTATGACGATAAACTACATCCAACAGCAATGCCTCTAATAAAGGTTTTGAAAAAAATAATATTACCAGCTGTACGTTTTTGAAAAAATAATATTACCAGCTATATATTTTTGAGAAAAAATATTAACAGAAATAGATTTTTTGACAAAAAAAAAAAAAATAAAACCAGGAAAAAAAAAGTTGTCAGCATTAAATGACCCATTGAGGTTGATATATGTAAAATAAAACCAAACCAAACCAAACCTTTCTCATCAAATCTTAAAATAAAAGTTATCCTGAATGGCCATTATTTCAGATCCTTTTGTACTAATGCAGGTGTCCTCCAGAACTCTATACTTGGTCCTACTTTGTGTTTAATTATCATTAACAACCTTCCTGATGGAATCAGCTCTCAATTTGATACCTATACTGATGACACAACCATTTACTTTTGTCTCGATAGTAAGTCTGATTAGTTTGATAAGGTCAAATTGGTAGCTGATGTCAAAAATGGCCTTCAGTCTGCTGTTAACTGTGGCAAAGAATGGCTTGTTAATTTTTATGCCTCCAAAACTAACCTGCTCTCTGTTAATCTCTGAGAGAACTGTTTCTGTCTTCCCTCAGCATGGCTGATGCTAATCTCCAGGAGAGTGACTCATTGTGCCTTCTCGGGTTAATATTATTGGCTGACATGAAGTGGAGAGACTTTATTGAATCCATTGTTAGTTCAGTTGTAAAGAAAATTGGTTCACTATGTTGTGCTAGACAATTTTGCTCTCCAGAATATCTATAAGTCTACCATTCATCCATGCTTTGAATATTGCTGCCACATATGGTCTGAGGCTCCTGCTATATATCTAGAGATCCTTGATAAAGTCCAAAAAAGAATCAGCGATATTATTGGTTTTGATCTGGTATTTCAGCTTCAATCACTTTCCAACTGGTGTAAAGCTGCCTCCCTGTGCCTCTTCTATAAGTACTTTCATGTTAATTATTCAGATGGGTTCTTTACCAGGGTACCTAGACTTTATAAATTTAAGCCTAGTACTAGACTGGAGACAAGGTCTCACCAATTAACAGCTGAGTTGGTTGGATGTGACCATAATTTCTATGCTAACAGTTGCTTTTCTTGCACTTTTCTTTCCATTCCATGCTTTACAGCCAACTTTAATCTTCAAGAATTTAAATGCAATGCCAATCACTATCTGCTGTCTTCCTGATTCCTTTTACTATGTTTCTTCTCCTTAGTAATGTTTCTGTTTTCCAATTCTTCCACACCCAGTAACCCCTTGTGTCTTACTGGCTTTATTGCCTTGCTTGGGGTGAATTCACTTAAAAAAAACAAACACACAAAGGGTAGATAAGCTGTAAAAAACAAATGAATCAATCTTCATTTTCAGACCTTTCTCTTTGCTTCTTTCTGCTCATTTTTTTCTTCCTCCTCTTCTGTCTTTTTCTCCTTACTTACCAGCATCCACCCTCCCCAAATTATTCATGGTTATTATTAGTAACATATATATCACCATTTAAATTAAGTGCAATTCCAGTGTCCTTCTTGGATATGCACATAGCCTAATGGTACTGGTGTGTTAAGTTCAAATTCAAGCCAATGCTATTGCATTCACTTTCGCACAAATATCCTTGGAAAACACATGAAGGCATATCTTCTTCCTATCCTTGTTGATAGAAATGTAGAAAGAGTTCTAACTTTGGTTGGTAACCAGTCTAGAAGGACAACTCTGAATCAAAAAATGATTGGCCATGAGGCTGGCAACTTTGCCTATAAAAACAACAGAAGCAACATCTAGTGTGGTGAAGCTGTGACCTTAGCATGGTGAGGCTGTGGCCCTATATTCCATAAGCAAATCTACAGGATTTACAACAAATGTCCTCTTCCTTGAATTATTTCCTGTGTCTTCTTCTTATCTTAGACTTATATTGATTTCTCCTCCACCTTCCTCTATCACATCATACTAAAGATTTCTCATTCTTTGAAATTCTCTCATATTCATTCCTTACTATATTTTTCCCCTGACTCTTTCTTTTCTTCCCACACTTCTTTTTTTCTTGACACTCACTCAATTTACTTTCAGCACTTTGCTTTTCTTTCTCTTTTCTCTCATTCACCCTCTTCCTTTTCCTCTGATTATTTCCTGTTTGCCTTCTTTTTCATTTCTTAATTCCAGACTTTTGTCTTTCTTTTCTTTCTACTACTCCCTCTTTCTCTTCTGCTATTTTCCTCTTCTTCTCTCTTGATACTCCTTACTTGAAGCATATGGCCATATCATATTGAAACACCAGTTTCCATATGATCACCAAAGTTAAGCAATGTTGAGCCTGGTCAGAACTAAGATGGATGATTGTTTGGGAATACCATGTATTGTAAGCTTAGATGTGCAGGTGGTGTAATGGATAATGGCTCAAAATTGTAAATCAGAGAAACAAGTTTCAATTCTGTTCATTATATTCACTAACATGCAAATATCCTTGGGAAAGGTATGAATCGACCAATTCTTCCCCCAGCTATGGGTTAATTATTAAGACTTGTATCACTAAAACATTATTTCCAAAGAAAAAAACATTCTTGCAATCTAAAAAACATTTTCTGGTTTTAAATAACTTACAATAGGTGGAAAACGAATGAATCAATCATCCCTTGATTTCTGTACATTTCTTTCTCCTCTCTTTTAACTTTCTTTCTCTTCTAACCTTCTACTTATATTTATCCTTTACTTTCTCCTACCTCCCTCTCTTTTCCTTTCACCACTTCCTCTTTTCCCTCTCGATACTCCTCCCTTAATTTCTTAACTTTTCTTCTCCTTCTTCATCTCTTTAATTACATACTACCCTCCTTCTCTCATTTTTCCTCCTCGTCCTCTTTTCCCTCTCAATACTCCTCTCTTATTATCTTAAACTTTCTTTTCCTTCTTCATCTCTTTAATGACATATGACGACTACCCCTCTCTCTTTTTCTATTCTCCTTTTCCTCTTTTCTCTTGATTATTTCCTGTTTCCAAAACTAAATCAGTCATCCAATAACTATCTATCTGGTTTGCAAACTATTTGTGTGGACGTATGCATAAAAAAAGAGAAAGTGAAATGTAGGAAGTATTTACAAAGCTTTGTTTTATTTAGAAAGCACCAAGTGAGGATCAAATTCACTGAAGCAGACATGTCTAAAAAAGCTGGCAATCTACACCATGATATGGCAACACACATACACATGTATACATGCAATTTGATTTTTATATCCAACACTACATTTTGCTTTTTTTTTATTTAATTATCTATATCCCAGTCAGTTCAGAATTCTCTGAGTCTGTCCATATCTCTCTCTCTCGATCCATCTGAGTCTGTCCATATCTCTCTCTCTCGATCCATCTGAGTCTGTCCATATCTCTCTCTCTCGATCCATCTGAGTCTGTCCATCTCTCTGAAAACATCCATCTGAAATGTGATTCTCTCTCTCTCGATCCATCTGAGTCTGTCCATATCTCTCTCTCTCTCTCGATCCATCTGAGTCTGTCCATATCTCTCTCTCTCGATCCATCTGAGTCTGTCCATATCTCTCTCTCTCTCGATCCATCTGAGTCTGTCCATATCTCTCTCTCTCTCGATCCATCTGAGTCTGTCCATATCTCTCTCTCTCGATCCATCTGAGTATTGTCCATATCTCTCTCTCTCGATCCATCTGAGTCTGTCCATAATCTCTCTCTCGATCCATCTGAGTCTGTCCATATCTCTCTCTCTCTCGATCCATCTGAGTTTGTCCATATCTCTCTAATTCTCGATCCATCTGAGTCTGTCCTATCTCTCTCAATGATCCATCTGAGTCTGTCCATATCTAATCTCTCTCGATCCAATTAGTCTGTAAAAAATCTCTCTCTTGATCCATCTGAGTCTGTCCAAATAAAAAATTTTGATCCATCTGATTCTGTCCATTTCTTCTCTCGATCCATCTGAGTCTGTCTGGAGATTTAGAAAATCACGATCCATCTGAGTCTGTCCATATATTTTCGATCCATCTGAGTCTGTCCAGGAAATCTCTCGATCCATCTGAGTTGTCCATATTAATGATCCATCTGAGTCTGTCCATATCTCTCGATCCATCTGAGTCTGTCCATATCTCTCGATCCATCTGAGTCTGTCCATATCTCTCGATCCATCTGAGTCTGTCCATATCTTTTTATGTATGTATGTATGTATCTATCTATCTATCTACCTACCTACCTGAGTTTGTCCATATCTATCTATATATCTGAGTTTGTTAGATATTCTAAGTGTGTTCATTATGTATCTCACTCTGTGCATATCTATCTATCAGTCTGTTCATATGTCAGTCTGTCAATTATATGCTATGCATGTTACACACTTAGGTGATCATATATCTTTTGATACATGACTGACGAGGCAGATTTTTTCCCGCAGCAGATTGCCATTTAATTCTGCAGTAGATCAGTCGCCATCCAAGGTTACAGAACCCGGTCTATCCTGCTATTTACCCATAGCTGGGATGGTGGGTGGGGGGGAGAAGAGGATTCATACCTTTCCCTAGGGAATTAACACATAAGTGAATGTAATGGATTTGTATGTATCTATCTCAATCAGTTCACATCAATTTATCTATTTTTTTTTTTTTAATCAGTATCATCCCAAGCAAGGCAGTACGGCCATTAACACACAAGGGGTTAAAAGGTATGGAGGAATTAGGAACAGAAACATTAGTAATGAATAGAAAGAGAAAAGAGCAATCAAGAGGACAGTAGATAGCAATTGATATTGCATTTAAACTTTTACAGATTAAAGTTGACTGGAAAGCATGGAGCTGGAAGAAAGTTCCACAAACGAGAAGTGTGGGAAACAAAACTATTAGCATAGAAGTTACAGCTACATCTAGCTAGCTCAACTGTCAATTGATAAGATCTCGACACCAGTCTAGTATTGTGCTTAAATTCATACAGTCTAGGTACCACAGAGAAGAGTTCATCCAAGAAGAATTACCATGAAAATATTTATAAAAATGGCACAGACAGACAACCTTACAGTGCTGAGCAAGGGACTTAAGCTGAGCTGCCAGATCAGAACCAGTAATATTGCTGATTCTTCTTTAGATCTTATCAAGGAGCTCCTGGTAAACAGCAGGATCACCAGACCATATATGGTAGCAATATTGAAAATGCACAAATGGTAGATATGTAAGATAGATTCTGGAGAGAAAAATTGTCTTGCTTGGCACAGTGAACCAAATTTCTTAGCAGCTGTCCTAGCAATGGGTCTTTTTCATATCAGCTGAGAATGTTCCATTGGGGAGGTGTAAGAAAGTCACTTTCTTGGAGGATAGCATCAGCCATACTGATGTAAGGCAGTAATCAATCTCTCAGATAGGATAAGTTTAGTTTTGGAGGTGTTAAATTTAACAAACCATCTTTTTGCCCCAAGTTCTTGAGTTTGTTTTGCACACGGTTTTGACCTTGTCAGACTGATCAATCTTACTATTGAAGCAGGAGTAAATGGCAGTGTCATCTGCATAGATATCAAGAGAGCTGATTTCATTGGGAAGGTCGTTAATGAAGTTTAAAAACAGCATAGGACCAAGGATGAAGCCCTGGGGACATTATTAGTGAAAGTACAAAAGGATGTAGATAAATGGACAACTTTCATTTCATGATTTGATAGGAACGACTGGATCAGCTCAAAAATGGGCTCAGGATACCATAACTTTTCAGCTTGTGGAGAAGACCTAAATGCCAGACCCTGTCAGAAACTTTTTGATATGCCCAGTGCTATAGCCCAGGCTTTACTGTTTTTGTCTAAAGCACGAATGGCAATTTCCACAATTATCGTTAGCATATCATCAGCAGTTGACCTGAAAAAACAAAAGCCATATTACTTTTTCTGAGAAAAGGCCCTATCATGAGAGATGAACCTTTTTAGCATAGATTAGAGACTCTAGAATTTTTCCCAAAAAGATGTAGAAGGCTAATAGTTGGATGGGTCAGACTGTTCACTAGATTTCTTAACAACTGATGATGCTTTTCAGCAAGAATAAGGAGGCAGTGAGGCATTTATTATACAGTTTAGAGAGAACAGGAGCCAGTCTGGGAGCACACTTCTTAATGACTATTACAGGGATACCATCAGGTCCACATGCTTTGTGGGGATCCAGGTTAGAGATGATAGCAGAAACCATGGAAGGGGTTAAATGCATCACTCAACTTCAACTCAGTTCTATGTGGGAAGTTAGATTGTGATATTTGAGGAGAATTTATGGTTTAAAGCATTTACGGGCAATCAGCAGTTTTTACATCTCAAATCAATTGAAGAGGTGGGAGAATAGACACCTTGCATTAATCATTTGCCCTATTACACAGAGCCATGAGTAATTATGAGAGCCAAAACTTTTTAAAGGCTGTGCAGTGCCTCATTTCTGTGTTCAAAAGCTCCTTCGAGGACTCTCTTACATTTGTTACACACAGTAAAAAATAGGCTCCTGTTATGATGAGAGCTGTCATGATGGTGTAGTTGGAAATAGTGGTTCCTGTGTGCTATGGCAGATGAGCATGCTGGCATGAACCATGGAAAGGATTGCAGTTTCACCTGGTTTTTCTGAAAAGGGATGAAAGCATCCATGCCAGCTTTGACCCAAGAGGAAACCTCAGTGGTACAATTTTTCAATTGGAAGGTTAAAGATATCAGTCAAAGGAGTATCATGAAGAAAATCCTGAAAAAAGACCACAATAATTGTCACTATCTATCACCAATGGCAATACAAACCAGCCAGTGCATGGCTGAGAAGTTTGGAACATAATGTAGCCATGGGTTGCCCACTGGAAATACATGCAGGACACCTACTGATCTGCGACATGGCACTACAGGTAAAACAATATTATTCAACTGTTGATCAGAGCAGCCTAAAAGTGTTACCAAAGAGTTTGGGCCCCTAATGACAGCAGCCACCAAAACTACCAACCCAGCACCTTCATATAATCTTTTTCCAGCCACTGGTTATATCTATCTCATTCCGTTCAATATGTGTAAATCTCAGTGTGTGTTTATCTATCTATACTACATAAAAATAGAAATAAGCATAAGGCTGCTGGTATAATTATGATTATGTATCTTGTAATTGTTAATCATAGAGCCAAGTTCCAGTATCTGTTGAGAGACATTATATTGACTTACATACATACCCTTATGGAAAACTCTATGAATCCACCTCAACTTTATATACACCTATGGGTTAATTAGTAAGACTTGTACCACTAAATCATTATTATCTTTAAAAAGATAATTCTTACAGATTTAAGTAACCTGCTAAAAAACATATCAATCAATCAATTCTCATCAGGTATTTGAATTAAAAAAATTGTAATTATAAACATGAATT